TTGCAGATGTTCCTACTTTTGGAATTACATTACAAAGACCACTCTAACTGCTATAAATATCCATTGCACCATACAGACAAGGCTTCTTCATGGATATTGTACATTAGAAACATGACCATTTCTGCTGAATGAATTGCCATTCAAGTCAGAATCCAGGACTCATATCTTCTTGAATTTTGTTGTATGCTTTAATGAAAGATTTTGGAAAGCAGATGGTAATGCAGTTTGTTGGTGTTAATGATGCTGGTATTAGTGATGTTGCCTTCTATGGTATGCAAATGTCCTGTGGGTCAGTGGGCTACTCAGATACTTCTTCCAGCTTTCATGTTCAATAACATTTGACAAAGCTCCCTCTCCTGAATTCTTTGATGACATCATGTAAGGAATTATTGGTTTACTTATTTAAAAAGAAATAAAAATATAAAACACACTATTGAATAATATTCTTCAATAGGTTATTTTTATGTTGCATCCATTTTGGCAAATATATTCATTAAAATGTCTACTATGATCTCATTCTCCAATTTTTGCACATTGTACAGGATTCCTTTTAAACTTTAAGGAACATATCAAGGTGGGTACTATATGATTTACTTTCCATTTTAAGAAACATTTTATTGCTAAATCCTTTTTCCAGATTCTTTTTGTTCCCCAAAATTACATCTGCTTTGTCGTAAAATAGTTGCACATCCCATAGATTTCCCATTACACTCATGAACTGAACAGAGTGGTCCAAATGAGCTCAATGTTTATTTAAGAAGAAAGAGCGAGCACATTTTCTAAACTTTGAATGAAGTAGTTCAGGCTGTATAGTCAGATGTCTTGGAGAAAAAATTCATGGAATTAAATTGTGATTTGCCCTCATTCTTTGGTTGTAAAATGGTGTGTCAGTCAGAACTGATGTCTGTTCATTTGTTTTGTAAATTTGAGTTTATTAAATTAAAGTAAGACTAAATGGAATACTTCTGAAAGCTGCATATAGCCTACTCATACAACATCAGGATGCTCCATCCTAGCATATTCCACAACTCCATTCATAACTTTTCTCTGGTTTGGCCAATCTACCATGTTTGCATGCAAGGAATATTTGGGTAGGAAATCTTTCATTCTGGCATTGCATCATAAGGTACGCTGGCACCATACAGGTTACAACCCATGCTAGTTCGTCAAGAGAACTCAAGGGTATAATTGTGCCTTTAAAAGGAGTGACAGTTGACTGTATTTTTAAGGCAGAATATATTCATGATTCATGAAAGTGGAACCCAATTGTCTGATTGGTAGTCAAGTTAACAATTAAAAGGAGAATTTTGTAAACCTAAATTGTCATTTATCATTTCATGGAGAATTGGAACTGTGTTCCACCTGTTACCATTCACGCTTATGTCTTTGTTCTGTCAACAAAATATCTGTAGCTAAAATGAAGTTTTATGCAGAGAGGTCAAATCAACCTCTCTGCATACAACTGTGGCTTTTGTTGATTTTATTTTTGTTTTCTTAGCTCTTCAGCATGTATTTGGAGTGTTTCCTGGAAAAAATGCAATTATCAGTCTGGAAGGATACTGATGAGTTAGTTTAGGGTTAGAGTTCTGTTCAGCAAAACATTGCACAGTTCTTGGTCAAGCTTCATTCATGTGTCCCTTCTACAACCCTTAATAGGATGATTCCTAGATTGATTTCAGCCACTGCTTTCCTCCCATGACAAAGAGGATCAAACATGAATGGAGATACAGTCAATCTGCTTTGCCTTTCATTGTGTAAGGAAACCAAATGAGTGATATTTTCTATCATTTTCAAGTTCATGGTGATTCCTTCTCTTCCATGTCCCCAGAGAGTTTTAGTGGCTACAATCACTACGGCTAATTAAAAAATAAATAAATAAATAAATAAATAAATAAATAAATA